AAAGATGAGGACAAGAACATATAATCCGGACAATTGTATAGTATCTGTTTATGATCTACAAGCTGCAGTGCTTTGTCCTAAAGGTGATACGTCGACATTTTATTACCTATCCAAGTTGAACTGCTATAATATTACTATTTATGATATTAAAACCAAAGATGTTAACTGTTAGGTATAGCACGAAGGCGAAACTTAACGTGGAGCTAATGAAATTGGTAACTGTGTACTAAAATACATTGAAAGCTTGGAAGAAACCGCCAAAAAACTTGATTTAAAATTGGACTTGATATTTCACTCAGATAATTGCTGCAGGCAGCAGAAACATCATTATTTGATCGCAGTATACATATTTGCTCTGCAAAACCATGATTTATTTATTCAATTTGTCATAAATTCCTCATAAAGGGTCTTACGCAAAATGAGGGTGACAGTTTTCACGCTGTTATAGAGCGTCAAATCCAAAAAAAGCCTCAAATCTGGTGCGATCTATACACCTGATCAATACACACAGATAATTCGAAGTGTGAAGAAGATTGGTATACCCTTTATAGTATATGAACTGACCTAAGCCGATTTTTATGAAGTCAAAAGTTTAGCAACTGCTATATGTAAGAATTTTTCTTAAAATGAAAACAAGCAATCAGTAAGTCGTACTGATATAAAAAAAATTATGTTGATCCAGTCAACACTGAAAATTATGCCTTCTTCTATAAAACATCATACGAAGAGGAACATTTTAATATAAGATAGGAAGAACAACAAAACATAAAATAATATAGTTTTGACACAAGCATACAAAAATAAGATGGAAGTGCGTGAAAAGAAGAATTGAGGATTATTAAGTTTACTACAAAATAATACAATTCCAAAATCTTACTCATTATTTATTATATACTTACACGATATTAATAATATGACATGTTGAAAGATTTTTTTTTGTTGTATTAGTAATGTAAAACTTGCGTACTGATTATTATGATCTCAATGTATTATACTTAGATATTGAGATAGCTTTCTTAAAAAACGTTTAAAATAGAGACTGATATAAAACTCTGTATTGTGCTTAGAATTTATAAAATTCTTCTAATTTTGAAGTTGATAAAAATTACATTGTTTAATTTTGAGCTTTTTTGAATTTTTCTGTTTTGTTTCCAGAATTTATAAGATTCTATGGTTCTTAATAAGCGTTAGCTATTTTTAAAGATGTTAAACATTCTCATTTTTCTGTTGTTTTCCTAAGTTTAGTATGCTTATCACTTGTCGTAAATCCAGTTATTACTTTATTTTTCATAAAGCTTGTTATATCACACAGTAAGCATTTTTGTAAAAGAACGACCGAATTGGTACTGTAACACTGTTGATTTAAAATAAATAATACTAAGATGTCACAACTCAAAATGTATCAGTATCACTGAGAAAAACATAATGAATATTTTGGATTATTTCTAAAAACACCACTGTTATAAAAAATATCCTTCTTTTTTTCTAGTTTTTTTTTGCAATGAGCCAGTAATCTTCATAAATTTGTCTGTGTTATTTTGTTATAAGTCTGAGGCCTAGTGGTCATATTCAATATTTAGAACTAATTAAGTATTATTTTATTAAAAACATTTAATAAACATAAACTGCAATATATTTTTCATGTTTTATTAAAATTTCATAAACATTTGCGCAGTAAATAAAAAAATACAGCATTTGAACATTTTGAAAAAACTTTAAAGTGCTCTACTGAAAAATTGACTCAATTTGAGTTACGACAGTATTCTTTCAAAGCAGCGACATACTGATCAATTAAAATGCTCAAGATAAACGACTACCAAAACGGAAAAGGAAATGGGATTTTAATAATTTTTTGAACTAATCTAAAGATTTCGCCCATCTTATAAATTCGAGTAGAGATTTCCACAATCTTATTGCCTGTACTGTAAAACAGTGGGGCTTTACGTGCTTTGTTGATCGCCGGGCCTTTACCCTTCTTTTTGGAAGAGGGTTTGGGCTTCGGCGCTCTTGGGCAACCTTTATAGTTTGCTGTGTGACCAATTTGGCCACACAGTACACGGGCCAGAGGGGTGAGAATGTCTCGAGTTCGAGAGCACTCCTTTGTGGGATGTGGAGGCACTTAACTCAGCTCGGAGTCGCGGAAAAGTTGGCCGCCGTATGCCCATAGAGCTGGCTCGGTGGCACTGTCCTGAGGTACCGCGTCGGTGAGGGGGTTCTGCTTTATTTATTTATTTTATTTTTATTCATTTATTTTTGATTAATATACACCAGCGACAACAACATGACACAATTCATATAAAGATAATGGGCTAGTTTTAATGAAGTGCCTTTATAGGCGTATGCAGCATTTCAAAATAATTAAGAAAAAGACAACAGATTAACAAGAGAAATAGAAATTGGTCAAATCTAAAATAATAAATAATTATTAAATCAAAACATATCAATACAATATAAATTATTCTAAAAGAGGATATAAATTATTCCAAATTATCTTGTTTGATGTGCAGAGGTTTGAGACCTCTGCCTATCTAGATTTGTCCCGTATGAATACGGGAGGCGGGAGTTTGGGTTTTCCCGGCTTTGGAATGCATTTATTATGCGGCCGTAGCGGGGTGGGGGAGGGAGTAATACTAGGAGTATTATCCCGAGTGGCTTTCATGCCGGTATTGCTTTTGGCCGAGAGAGGTTTTCTCGGCGGTATTGCTCACCGAGGACACCCCGTCCGACATGCGGGGTTTGGGAGTGACGTTATCCGAGGAAGCGTCCGCACTTGCTCTCGAGGAGCGTGGCTTACGACGCTTCCTGCGGCTTCGTACCGTATAAAAAGAATTATTTAATTCGTTGGAGTCAGACGTCCTGAGAAGGTCGTCGGATGGTGGAGAAGAGCGGGGAGGGGATCGCTGTGAAGCAGTCCTTTTAATAGATGTGCTTTCGCAGTCCATGACGGAAGTTGTTGGGAATGGCGACGCCTGGTATTCAGACATCGCTTGGATTTAAGAGACCAATTGGTCGAAATGGATTTGGGCATACGTTGACGTAAAGGGGATGCAGAAAAACTGCGGCTATCCCTAATGGAATTAGCGGCAAACCTTCACCCTTGGGAGAAGGCCCAAGTGCAGTGGGATCGGGTCTTCGGTGTTGCTAAAGCCTTAGCAAGCGCACTGGGATCGTTCAGCCGGCTTAGTTGCCACCGTATGGTATCCACCAACTCAACTAGTTGAAAGTGAGTCAAGTCCTACTGTTTTAATGTTTTAAGAAAAACAAAAAGCAGCAGGACCTGCGCTCGGGATGTGCAGAAGGCACGAGATGTACTCACATTTTGGGTAGACGAGAATCGTGTACGTGCACGGGGGCGCGCAACAAAAGCTGAGAGCGGGATGTTTTGACTCGTACTTATGCAATCTAACAATATAAACTGATACCGCGATGCATTAAATGAAAAGCGCCATCTAGTTTGCAGACTTAGAACTAATTGGGCACCTACGAAGATGATGGATGTGTTACAAATAAGTATCTTTGTCATAACCATATTCAAACAGTATTGTCGCAAACTTGAAACCTCATATTTAACATAACAATATTGCAGCGACATTGTCACAAACTTGCCTCGTATATTTGACGTGGCAATTTAGAATCAAAGAACTAGTGTCTCGAGGCAAAATTGCCCTAAGTTAGCATGCTATCTGGGTACATTAGTGTTTTCTACTTCGACGTTACAACTGATCTTTTACAAATACAAAAGTGTTGACTATTTGAAATTGTTATTTGTCTGTCTAGTCAGAATGAATAAAGTCTAGTTGTATGCGCAATCAGCTAAATGTGATAGTTTTCAATCCAATAAAAGGTTCCCTGAAAGAAATCGCTCGCTAGCGATAAGGCCGCCTTTTACGCCATAAGGCAGTTGTGTAAAATATTCATGTATATTGTCCATTTCATTTAATTTTCTATAAAGAGTATTTATTATTATTTTGACGATGTAATTAATTCTGTATTTTAGCGTAAAACAAATTTATAATATCATTTCGATAAAACACACTGTTACAAACAAAAATAAAATATAATTAGAATCAGTCCACTGCTGACGAACATTGAATATTGGAATGTATTGGAACAAACATACAAAAAAAAAACGGCCATGTCGGACTTGCGCACAGAGGATTCCATAACAGTTTAGGAACCTTATGGTTGAAGGTTGGGTCCCTACTGTGGTGATGGAGACAACTGGTTAGGGAGACTAAAGGATAATTGTCTCCCTCCGAGCTAGGTGTTGTTAGCCCGGGGACCGCGGTCCAACCGATGTAGGTTGGACGTTCTATTTATGTTAATTGGTAATGAAACTTATTCTGTGCGATGAAGGTTTCTTTGTTCTAAATATCTTGTAGTTATTAATTTATGCTGTTTGTATTGGTACAGCGCCATCTCGTTACTTGCCGTTGAAACGTATTGCAGTTTGTCTTGCTATCGATGGCTGTGACGATGCTAGTCTTCTCGCTATCGATTGTTGTTTGGCGATGTTAGTGCGATGAGTTAGATGTCGCTATGTATCAGTCGCCACAACAGAAACAAGCAAAAAAGCCACGTTTTTTGCTTGTATCTGTTGTGGCGCCTGCTTTAAATATTTATTTTATTCTGGTTTTTATTTTAGTAAAGCGGTAACAGAAATACGTCATCTGTGAAATTATTAACTATCCAACTTTCACAGATCATTAAATACAGCCTGATGGCAGATAGCGAAGTCTTAGTGCCCTATTGGTTCCTGTTCTAGTCTTTGGACACGGGACTCTAAAAATCATTCATTTTAATTGAGAAAAACGCGGCATTAGCAGGTAAAGTTGCGGGAAAAAGCAATTTTTATATACTATGCTGAATATTATACTAAAGGTAGTCCACCGGCACCTAGGTAAACTGAAGTGAACCACCGGCAAGAAAGTGGCCGTGGTCGGAACCAGGCAAACTAAGCAGTTTTCCTCGACGACCGAATTCAGCTACCATATGAACGGAAGGTCTACTATTACGGTGCGATATAAGTAAATAGAAAAAAACAACGTAACGATAATTATTTAATATAATATTAATATAATCATTTAATGATATATAAATAAACGCGTTTTTTCACATTTTATTTATGTATCGCTGCTATCTGATTTCGAACTCTCCGTGTTTTCTGGTAAATCCATTCCCGCAGACAACAGCTCAAAAAGTTCTGATTCTTGTCTCTGCCGCAGTGTGTTCAGAACCTCGTCAGATGAAATTCTTTCATCAAGATCGTCATCTGGTTGAAGACCCAATGTGATAAAAGCTCGACGTGTTTGGCCTGCGCTCAGCCATCCTCTTTGACCAGGATCAAAACTTTTTACTACTGCTTCTAAATGCCTGAAATGTTTTAAGTAGGTATTTATTAAGTATTTATGAAGAGCTAAAAAGAAGAGTAGTAATATTTCCGTTTCATACTTATTTTCGTATAACACTGGTGCAGCGCCGTGTCCAGCACGAAACAACATGCAATCATTCACTAATTTCTCTAGAAATATTACCGGTTTGTTTGGTCTTTCCGCTAGTAATTTACTGAGAAGAAATCTCACGAGTTCGGGGATACGACGTTCTTTCAAATAACTCTCTGTACGAGTTACTGTTGTTAGAATTTGTCGTTTTCGTTCTGATATGACCACTGCTTCGGATGAATCTTGATCTATAAGACATTTGCAAACAGTTACTGGTTCGTATACCGGATCACGCTCTAAAAAACTGACTTCTTCATCCATATCGACAAAATGAAGGCAAAGTAAATAATTATGTAGCAATTTTATAGTGACATGACAATAAGCTTCAAGTTAAATCAAAGACAAAGAGTAAAGTATATACCTTAGTATATATATCAACTCTGAGAAATTATCATTACTAAAAAGAACTTTAATACTATCAACTAAAGTGTAATTTTCACTGTTCCTTCTACAGTAGCTAATCCGAGCTGAGAGAGATAGTCACAACGTAGGCGGTATATCTCGTTCTTTCATCTTGCCATTATAAAAAAATAACGATGACTAAAAATTTTAACTTAAATAATACGAACTCATATTGCTTCAATTTAATGCAGGCCCGTGCCCGGTTTGCAGGCCCGTCTTTACCCATGGTGCAAGGTGTAAAACACTCAGGCGCGCGCTTTGGGGGGCGCCTCGTCTATGATGGTCTAATCTTGTAGTACCTACTCATCAAAAGTAAAAAGTTAAAATTTTAATTTATAAAAATTCGTAAACCCGTATTAGGACCGAATTTTTTGCAGACAACCCTATATCAATGTGTTCGTAATGAAACAGCGCTTATGTTGATATAATTTTTTTTTTAATATCAATCAAGTGAAATTAACTGGCATCGATATACCTGTTTATACCTGACAACCCAGTAGTTCGTCCAGGTAAATAATAGACAACCCAACGTCTGAACATTCTATATGTTTTATACTTTAAGTCAGAATTAAATTTTTCTTATTATCTTGATGTTGCAACATTAAATAAAAAAATATTTTGTAAAAAATAATTAAAAATATTCTGTCCAGGATTTTTTTAGCCAACCCATTTTTAATATATTTTCTAATATACTAAACCAATTATACAATAAGTTTTATTCCATTATCAACCCGGTGAAGGTCGATTTAGGTTCGGATCTTCTACTATTACGGATCTCAAATAAGTCTGTCGAATGAGGAAGTATTTTAAAAAAAAATCGTTTTCAAAACTCAATAAACAACTCATGTTCTATTTGTACTTTTTCGTATTTGTATTGATAAGTTTCAAATTTCAGTTTTTAAATATGTTAGATAGAAGGACTGTCTTTGGTCCATTCGTTTCCTGCAAAAACCGAACTTTTATTACAGTCGTCATGTGGAGGTACTCTTTTAGTGCTTTTTTTTTAAATACTTGCTTATTGCATCGCGCTCCATTGAGCAATGAGTATTGAGTATAGAGCCTTAGGATGAGGAGATCTCGTACCTTAAAAATTATATAATTTTGCGTAGATTACGTTTTCGATTAATTTTTTGTAAACTTCAGAACTGTTTTTTTTTTCATCTGTATTTCAAATTGCATTGAATTAGATTGATATATTTAAAGTTTCAAAGATAAAGTGCTGAACATATTGGACATTTGTTGGTTTTTTTGTTGTACTATCTTCGAACTTAAACATCATCAACTCAAAAAACAACAGCGTTTTTGGAAAATATATGTTGCCCTAAGTAACTATATCATGCGGACGAAGTCGCGGGCAAAAGCTAGTTTATAATATATATTTATTACGTTGATAACAATTCAACGCAATATAAATGTTGTAATAAATATTTATTTTGAAATTTTATCTTAATTTCAATAGTAAACATTGTTTTATTAAGTTTCTAAATCCAATATTACCGTCGAAATTTCGTTCGAATTAAATTTAATGTCCTTTGTTGGAATATTTCTAAACCCTTTCACAGTGATTACTGCATAAAACAAAGTTTTCTATTTCACGTAAGTATCTGCCCCCAACTGTTGAGACATTTTTGTCACATTTTTTATATTTTTATAACACTATAATTAGGGCAAGCAAAAACCGGGCTTTTTCAAAAACCAGTAATGTCCGACTGAAACTGAAACCCAAATTCTCAGTTTTGGCCGAAACCGAAACCGAAACTTCCTTACAAGGGTCATATTTTGAGGGAAAAATGAAGAAAAGTTTTAAGTCGAAAAACAGAAACAGAAATGAAATATTAATTTTAATATAAGTATATCTAGGAGGTACCTATGTATTTACTTATGTGTGAAAATAATTATACAAAACAAAATTGGTACGTAAGTTAGTAGGTATCTATTGTACTTGCCATTTGAATACCTTGGTAATCAAAACTAAAATTAACTTTGAAACTCTGAATCCATAATATTATTACCATAAAATGCACTATAGTCATTACTAACTAATGTTTTTTACGTTTTTTTATAGGATAGATTAAACTTGATTATATTTTAATCAGTCATATTAAATATTTTTTGAAGTTTACTACCCACTCTAATGTTATAACGACATAAAATGAAATAAAACTTACCAAATTGAAATTAATCATTCGAAAACTCGCCAGTGGCGAGTCGCCACCACTACAAAACAAAACAAACAGCAAACCCAAGCGAATTACGACATTGGCTAGGATGGGATTCATTTATTCAACGCGCCGAATATGACCGATCAACGCAAGAAAATTCCCGAATGCACATTCGGTTTCGGTCGTAATTTCGCCAGGTTTGCCGCCGAAAACGAAACTAAACCAAAATTCGTGTTTATGCCGAAACTAAACCAAAACCGAACATTCGGTTGGACCCTAAAAACCAGTAAACCGAGTTTTTCGGTTATTTCTGTTTTATTCGTCATAAAAACCTAATATGAAAGGGTTTATGCGTGAAATGCACAAGTTTATAATTAAATTCGGCTTATTTAAATAAAATCAGTTTATATTTATAACATAAAGGACCATTTATTTCATCGTCATTTCGTTTCTGGGATCGGCTTTGAACAAATGCTTTCTGAAACTTTAGGCGGCAATATTATTTCTTACTCTGAAACTGTCAGAAACCTTAAAATTGTGTTTGATAAATAATTCTTTCGAAAACCACAGGTGGAAGCAGTCGGAAGAAGGTTTTTGCTGCGTATGGCTCTTTCAGATGCCTACGTTATTTCCTACCGAGAAGCAAAAAAATTACCTTGGCACACTCTCTTTTATTATCTATTACACTGACGTATATTATACATATTTATCGGAGGACTTTTATAATACCCTTGAGCATCTGCAGAATGTTTGCAATAGATTAATTTTCAATATCCGTAAATATGTAATGAAGAAGCATTAAAGTTCTACAGGCGTTATCCCAATATTGCAAACTTTATTACATATAAAAAACTTGATGCAATTAAAAAAAGAACTATTAAAGAGGAAAAAAAGAATAGTTTGAGAAATTTGTGTCACAGCTTTAATAGAACAACCCCTATTTCAACTATTTGGAATTATATTAAAAGATTTAAAAGGATTAAAACAAGTAACAAATATTATTGTGACTAGTTTATTGAATTATTTTTACAAAAAATCTCAAAAGGCAAAGAAAATACAGAAAACTTGAATTATTATTTCGATCAACAGAATGATGAAAAAGGTACTAATAATTTATTGGACTTCTATTCATGGTGTGAATTTTCAATGAGTCTTCGATCACGCAAAAATACCACTGCAGGTCTTAATGACTTTCCCTATATTTTAATTAAAAACCTTCACATTAATATACAAAAAATATTTCTAGTTAGTCTCAATACACTCTAAAAAAACAAATAATACCGCATTCATAGAAAACACAATGTTTTATTCCTGTACTCAAACCTAATAAACCTAGTGATAATCTAAATTCATACAGATCTATTTCACTTTCATCTTTTTTGAAAATATGGTCAAAGTTCGTTTAGATCATTTTATAGAGTCAAATAATATAATACGAGGTAGGAGTGTGCAGACAGCTTTGCTTCCCTTATTTCTGATCTGAAAAATGCAAAAAATCATAAAAGTGTTGCATGTGCTTTCCTTGATGTTCAGGGAGCTTTTGATAATGTTCATCCAGAAATTCTTACTAAAATATTATCAGGGTTAGGTATACCAGGACTATTATGCAAGTGGATGTATGAATTTCTAAACAATGGAACTGTTTTTGTAAGACATAATAATATTTTATTATCTAATAAAGGTACTATGCAAGGTACAACATTATCACCTATGTTGTATGTATAATACGAGGGTCAAACTGAAAGTTCTTAGAACTGGCCACTTATAAACAATATAATAAAAAAATAATTCTAAAATTTGAAAATATAACTCTTTGCCAATATTACTGAGTATATATTTCATTCATTTGTCATTTGTTTTACGATTTGGCGGCAAATTGAAAATTGTCTGTGTCACGTCATCATGAATTTAACACGAGAAAATTTTCGTGCAATGATTTTTTATGACTTTCGATGTCATTTAAGTCAACAAGAAAGTTATGATAGACTACGATTGGCCTTTCACGATGAAGCCCCATCTCGTGCGACTGTTTACAACTGGTTTAATGAGTTTAAACGTGGTCGCACTAATCTCACTGATGATTTACGTGAGGGACGGCCTTCTACGGCGACGACTGAAGATAACATCTGTGTTGTGCGGCGTATGATAGAGACTGATAAAAGAGTGACCTATCAACAGATTCGGACAAGCTTAGGCATCGGTATGAGTCAAGTGCACAAAATCCTCCACGAACATTTAGCGGTCAGGAAGCTTTGCGCCCGGTGGATACCTCATAATTTGACTGAGGCTCAAAAACTCCATCGTGTGGATTGGTGTCGTAAAATGATTGAAAGATTTAACGGAGGTGACTCAAATGCTGTGTTCGACATACTAACAGGTGACGAAAGCTGGATTTACTGTTATGATCCTAAAACCAAAAGACAATCTGCTCAGTGGGTGTTTCCTTTCGAGGAGTTGCCAACTAAAGTGAAGAGAGATCGAAGTGCGGGAAAAAAAATGGTGGCCTCGTTCTTTGGAAGGTTAGGTCATTTTGCAACAATTGTGTTAGAGGATCAAAAAACAGTTTCTGCAGAATGGTACACTACCAATTGTTTGCCACTTGTCTTGGAAAAAGTTCGAGAGAAACGACCTCGCAGTAGGATCCTCCTTCACCACGACAACGCCTCGTCGCACACCGCCAAGCGAACGATCGACTATTTGGCGACATCAAACGTTGAATTACTGGGTCACCCGCCGTATAGCCCCGACCTCGCGCCTTGTGATTTTTATTTATTTCCAAAAATTAAAGAAAAACTTAAAGGAAAGCGGTTTATGAATGCTGAAGAAGCGGTGGCTGCGTATCGCGATGCCATTGAAGAGACCCCTAAGGACGAGTGGGCAAAGTGCTTTTCCCAGTGGTTCCATCGCATGCAGCGGTGTATTGACGTGAATGGACAATATTTTGAAAAGATATAATAAAACTAATAACTGGCTAATGTAATCAGTTTTTGATTTTCTAAGAACTTTCAGTTTGACCCTCGTATATATACATTTGAAATTTGTATGTAAATACTCACAATGTAAATATTTTGCAATTTGCTGATGATATTTTAAATATACAGTGATAATTACAAGGTAGATATAGGTATTAACTATGTAAATATTGCTCTAAATGATTTATGTACTTATTATTCTCAACTTAAATTAAAAAATTAACCCAAACAAAAGTGAGTCAATGATATTTAGTAAAGATTTGCCTAGCTTAATAATACTTGTAACATATTTACTGCAGAGACATATGCAGTCTTTGAGGCAATTAAGCGTATTAACTCCGTACATAATTTTAAGATTTTTTTATCTTAACAGATTCTCTGAGTCTAATTAAAAATTAAAATAACCACCTCAACATTTTAAGACTAATTATATTTTACTTAATATAAGAGAACTTGTATACAACTTACTTTAAAAGGTATTCGAGTTTCCATTATGTGGATTCCTTCGCATAAAGGCATATCAGGTGATGAAGTAGCTGATAAGACTGCACGTGAAGGGATAAACTTTTTAGATGTAAGCTCTGCTACGCATGTACTCCTTACTGATGACTATGCTGAAATACGAAAGGAAATGTACATTATATGGAAAAACTAGTGGCCGCCAGCGACTTCGTCCGCGTTTTCCATTATTTCTTCGCTCCTAATAGTTGCAGCGTGATGTTATATAGCCTTCCTCGATAAATGGTCTATTCAACACAAAAAGAAAAATTCAATTCGAACCAGTAGTTCCTGAGATTAGCGCGTTCAAACAAACAAACTCTTCAGCTTTATAATATTAGAATAGAATTAGAATAGATCACTGGAAGTCAAATGGTACGGAAGCATACAAGAAGAGATACCGTCCAAACCGCGGTACAGTAAGCTGAAAGATGCTAGTCGAGATTGCATCACAACGATGAATAGATTAAGATTTGGCCACCATAAAACACGATCACATCTTAGAAGGTTAAATAAATAAATAATAATACCTTCAGATAATTGCCCCTATTGCAATAACGACAACCAAGTTTGTGACATTCAATATCTGATGTTTATATGCTATCAGCTCTCTATCCAAGACCTGTGTTCGCGAGTGAAATTTGTGAACTGTGTAAAAATGTGAATAATGTCCCCCGCCGTTTAGAAGACTACTTGAAACAGTTGAATATTTTGTGCCTTTATACCAGTATATAAAATCTTCAATTGAAAAACTTTAAATACTGAAAAACTCGAAGACGGTGCAAACAAAGTTCTGGCTTGAAGGACTGTGCATCACCAACTATTTAATACATAACATCAGAGAAATCTATACAAAGTTAATTATAAAAGGTAAAGATATCATCTTATTCTGGACTCCATCCCATATTATTGGAGTAAGTGGCAATGAACAAGCTGATTCTCTTTCGAAGTTCGTTACTAATACAAATGATAATGTGCCTATAGCAGATATTAGAACTCTGATTATGTTCATTTAATTAAAAATAAAATCCTTAAATAATGGCATCAACATTGGCAAGAAACCTTACAAACAAAAGATAGTTATCATAATATAAATTCAATTATATCTAAGTCGTGATTCGTTAAAATACGATATATTGACAGAAATTTTTATACTGTCATATGTAGATTGCGTATTGGACATGGACGATTTAATGAGCACTTGCATAGAAGGCGCATGATGTCCTCCCCATCATGCAACTTTTGCAATTCTGGCAATCAAAGTTTGAATGATTTTAACCAATAATTTGTTGGATAACAAGAAAGAACAGATAAGCCCGCCTGCGTTACCGGAACTTCTAAAAAAATCCCAGTGTTATATTGTCCTCTACAAATATATTCAAAACACAGTTCAAAATGTTTAAAAAAAAAGGAAAAAGACAATCAAGAGACACATTATATTGAAAGAAGAATGTACTTCTGTCTTGGCTGTATGGCATAATATATAGGTGCTTTTGCCTTTTCATTTCAAAGCAATGAAAGCAAAAAAAAAAATTCAACTAAAATTGTTTTGTTTGGTTTCTGTAGGCTTGAATGTAACAAATAATATGATTAATGATCGAAATAGTAACAAGAGATAATTGTAAAAACTCGTTATTTATGTACAAAGATTTCTTTTTAGAAGTCTGTTTGTGTAGTGTCAAGTGGGCTTGTGATGTTTATTTTGGGGTTATGTATTCATATTATATTTCTTTTCTCAATTTTTGATATATACTTTAAATCTCCCATTGTAAAGAATGTTGTTCCCTATCAACCGCAGCATGTGGCACTTGCTGATAGACTTGTTCTGTTTGTTGTGGATGGATTGAGAGCAGAATCTTTTGTGAATTATACTACAATGCCGTATTTAAGGTAATCGTTGTTTTAGATTTAATTTGGGGTATTACTGGGTGTACCCACATAATATGTCATAATTTTCATAAATCATATAAATAAGTACAGTTATAATTATTAATTGTGTTATTTACTCTTATAGGACAGTCGCAAATACTTATGGTCGATGGGGTATATCAAATACTCGTATGCCTACGGAGTCCCGTCCAGGACATGTGGCTATTATTGCTGGTTTCTATGAAGACCCATCGTCTGTGATGAAAGGCTGGAAGGAAAATCCAGTTGACTTTGATTCTGTGTTTAATCAAAGCTATTACACCTGGTGTTGGGGGGCATATGACATAGTTGATATTTTCACAAAAGGTGGTATCAATGACCATATATTCACTAAGAAATTTGACCCATATGATCAAACCTTTAGTACAGATAAAAATACAACATATCAAGACAAGTGGGTGTTTAATAATGTTAATGAGTTTTTAAACAATGCTAAATATGATCCTGGTATAAATGAAAAGTTACATGCATCAAAAATAATATTCTTTTTACACTTATTGGGTACTGATACTTCTGGTCATACTCACAAACCAAAGACTGAGTAAGTGGTATACATTTATTTAATTTTTAGAATTTTAAACCCTGAAAAGGAAAATCAAATCTGTCATAGGATCACTTCATAGTCTGTCACAGCTGATTCATTCCATTACTACAGATTTAATTAAGTTGCCATATTATAGTATTTATTTACAGATAATTCATTTATTTACATTACAATAAAAAAATTAGACCATCTATCTTGTCTTCTTAGAAATAAAATGAAAGTTCGTAAACTACTTATATACATAACCAATAAATATGTTTTGACAACTGTGTTTTAACAAATAAATGGGTTATAATTTCAAGATGAAAATGTTTGAAGGTATGTCATCGTAATCATCAACACCCATTAAGTTTTTAAGAAAAGTGAGAATCTTTAATTAATCTTGGAAAAATGCAGGATGTGAAATGAAATGAAAATATCTTTATGTGGTAATGTACCTTGAAATTACAGAAAAATCTATAAAAAGTCTATCATTATTCAAATTTCAATGTTCATATAAAACCCTCAGTATCCAAGTCTGTTTTACTTAAGACCAATTTTTCAAATAAAACCTGTGTTCTGTTAAAGATCCTTTTTAACAACATTGAGGCATGTTGATGAAGGCATTAGGCAAATAGAAGAAGTCATAAGGAAATTCTATAATGATGATGGAAGAACTACTTTTCTTATGACATCAGATCATGGAATGACAGACTGGGGTGAGTATTCTATAAGAGTTGTATTTCAGCTGTAGCTCACAATTACAGTATTGTCGTCACCCACAGTTTTCATGGCCTTGACATTTTTTATCTCAATTTTGAAAAAAACCTGTTTAATAAATTGTTATCTATAAAAAACAACCAGGTAAGGGGCTGTCCATTAATGACGTGATGTATTTTCAACATTTTTCCCCCCCTCCTCGGTGATAAATGGTGAGGTTTGAGACTACCCCCTCCCTCCTAAAACTAAATCACGTGTATTAAAAAAAAATCTTAATTTATGACGTCGCTTTTCGGTTTAATAATCGCGCGTCGAGGGGAAACCCCCCCACCGCCCCCCTTGTGATATTTCGTGATTTTTGACGAATCCCTCCTCCTCCCCTCTCATTAGGGGCCGTCCATTAAGCCTCTCGTGATTAATGGACAGCCCCTAACCCAGGTACATTTAACACTTCTCAGCACTGAAACATAAACTGTCTCATTGTAGAGAAATTCGAATTTTCTTTACTACCTACATATGAAATGCTTTCCAGCATGCTCCATTGCTGCCACTACCAAGTGGGCTGAACTCTACCCTGAAAACCGTAAAAAGTAGTAGAGATCGTACTAAAGCTGTCTTGTTTTAAAACTAGGACTAAAATTAATACTGAGTTTAAATCAAGGATTGCCTTACATCAATTGACAGTGGCAGAGGAGATCTCCAATTTCAACATGATTTATTTTTGTCAGTTAATGGTTTAAACTTGCCTAATTTAGTTTTAATTTTATACTTATGCATATTTTATGGTGACATTGTCATAGTCTTCTATCAAATTAAATTATTAGTTGGAACTATAAAATCAATAATTTAAATTTATATTTTGTATAATGCAGGATCACATGGTGCTGGGCATGCTTTTGAAACTGAAACTCCATATGTATTGTGGGGCTCTGGGATACACCAAGCTAAGCGGAGTAAAATAGACCCTGGAAACTTAAATATGTCATTGAATCACAGATTTGATATCAGTCAGGCAGATTTGGCACCGCTTATGTCCACTGTTCTGTCCATTCCAGTTCCAGTTAATTCAGTTGTAAGTTTTGATTTCTTATGAAATTAAATATGTATACTTTAGGTCAGCACTCGGCAATCACTGTATCTTAGTGTGGTATATAGAACCCTGCAGTTCTAATTGACCAAAACACCATGTTCTGCAAAGCATATGTTCAGGAAAATTCATATTGATTATATGTCTGTAAACAATCAGAGTAAGTAAAATATGAATCAGTTAAGGTCAAATAAATAACACATAATAAATAATAAATAATTTATATTTCCAAGAGGGCTACAAAATAAAAGAATTCTAGGTTATATAATTTAAAGTAAGTAATTGTGAATTGAATACACATCATTGTGATAGTAATATCTTTTACTGACACCCAAATATCTGGTTTATTTTTTAATTTATCCTAGATATTTGTTTTCAGGGTAGAGTTCCATTAGAGATAATGGATCTTACAATAATCAATAAAGCAAAAGCTATATATAGTAATAGCAGGCAATTAGCTGCCCAGTATGATAAAAAAAGGCAAGCTGTAGAAGAAAATGCTTGGTCTATTTTATACAAACCCTATGAGCCATTCAATAAGAAAAAGTTCACAGAGATTATTGAGTTTACTGAAAAACTCATGAGAAGTGAAAGTTTAGAAGATTTTGAAAAATTAATTATACTAAGTGAAGAAATAATTCAACTAAGTCTATCAGGCCTGGAATATTATCAAAATTATTATCAGAGACCCCTGTTGGTTTTGGTCACTTTATCATTTATAGGTTGGATTGTGTATTTAATGAAATCATTGTTAGAACAAAATGTAAAAGTTCAAATTAATTCATCAGATTTAAAGAATCATAAAAATGACAATAGTGGATTCATACAAAGTCTAAGGTGGCCTTATATATTATTTTTATTAACAGTGTTTATAATAACTGGTCTAGTCTATGGTAATTATAATTTTTATCTGATTTAGTGTTAAATCTATAATTTTATATGAAATATGTAAAAAAAATATTATTTCAGCACAAAAGTTCCCATTACAGTATTATATATATACATTGACACCCCTTTTCTTGTGGAAATCAGCTTTGTCACCATTAAGTGTTTGGAGGCACATATTAAGGCAGTCTAATAGAAGCAAGAAAAATCATTTTATATGGGTGGAAGTTATATGCTATACAGCAGGATCGTATACACTGGTATGTTTGGTTTTCTTTTATCAAGTCAATATCTTTTCAAGTACTCATAGTTATTGGTTTTTCAGGGCATGTCCTTTACCCAGAGATGGATGTTGATTATACCTTTACTGGGTATGGCTTTATGGCCAATCTTCTCATCAGCAAGTGGCCAACTAACAGTACATATGCTGATTGCCTGGCCGATTACTTGTATATTGCTTAGCTGCTTTTCATTAATGCCAGTTATAGGAAAAGTTACTAAAATAGAACTAGTGTGAGTTTCTATTTAATAGACTTCCATCATATTAGAGTGTAAAAGGAATATAATTAAGTTGTCAATTTAGGCCAGTGTTTTATGTACGTTGTTTTTCTGATAAAAAAGTAATATAAATGCCCATAATATTTATTTGTTTACCATGCTGGTTTGAAAAGTTCTTGGCCTGACCAAGAAAACAAAAATAAAAACTTATTGTATTTTTCGACATATTCTGCCCTTGTCTCAATACAATGGCACTTGACATACGATTAAATAAAGAATTGGGCTGTCAAAAGACATTAAACAATTTACATACTACCCTCAAATCTCGGTCAGGCCGAGAACTTTTCAAACCACCCTCAATGCAATATTGTATTTTTTTATTTTTCCTGTGTCCGAAAAGAGTTTTTTTTTTTTTTTTGCATTCAATAATATCTCAATAAATTACTGAACTCAAATTATTTATGAAGGTATATTATGTCAACTGAATGATTTAAAATTTGACTATCATATCGTGCGATAATGTGTTAAAGTACTCTTATGTCGAATTCTTTTAATGGCTTTTACACTCTTAACTTCAATGAATTGAGATTTAAATTCAGTATGGAAATTTGGGTTTTCTACAACTTGACGCAGTTGACTAAATACACTCCCTATTTAAATTATTCGCTGACGTAACCTTAGCAACTTATTATGTATTACTTATAATTAAGGAGGGTGTTTCCCCTATACTTGCACCGATATTAGTTCGGTGTTTCGGTCAATGCATTCCGAAATCGTCTTTTCCCTTATAAGTACTAAAACATTTTATGTTAATATTTTATTTATTGGGTTGGCACAAAAGTAATGAGACACACTAGAAAAATCGATAACATTTCCTTTTTAAAATCAAATTTTTCGATAATATTCTAGAATGTTGTAGAACACTCTAGGTACTTCTGGTGTAGGGTATATAAAGCTGCGCTTGCGATTTGTTTAGTCAGTTTGAAGAAAAATGGACGAGCGACAAGTTCGAACACTATACTTATACGAGTACTTGTTAGGCCACAGTGCGCGGGCTGCGGCTGACAATATCAACAATGCATTAGGCGCTGGAAGTACAAGCCATGCGACGGTGTCCCGATGGTTTGACCGTTTTAAATCAGGAGACAGGAGCCTTGAAAGTCAGCCACGCTCAGGGCGACCACCCGCAGTGAATGATGACGATTTGCGCCGCGAACTGCAGTTGAATCCGGATGCTACCACTCGTGAATTAGCGGAAGCACTTAAATGCAGTCACCACGCCGTGGAACACCATCTGCATGAGCTTGGTTATCGAAAAGTTTTGGCTCAGTGGGTACCGCACATCCTTACAGACGCCAGTCGTGCAGTCCGTGTCGCTATCTGTCAGTCACTTTTGCTGCGACCCCGACGTAAAGAGTTTTTGTCAGATCTGGTTACTGGAGATGAATCATGGATTTATTACGAGAACGATACACGTCGTGCTTTTTGGCTGCCTCGAGAAGAAACGCCACCAACTCAACCGAAGCCGAGTCAAAAGAACCGCCGAAAAATTCTGCTTTGCTGTTTCTGGGATGCGCAAGGTATACTGTTTTATGAGCTATTACACAATGAAACTATAAACGCTGACAAATATTCAACCCAGCTTACCAAATTATCTGCCGCTATCAAGAAAAAACGACGAAGACGAGTCAATGTAGTTTTACTGCACGATAACGCTCGACCTCACGTCGCATCTGTGGTTCGCCGGCAGTTGGAGAACTTGGGCTGGGAGACGATACCCCACCCACCTTATTCCCCAGACCTCGCCCCATCAGACTATCATTTGTTTAGAGCCCTGAAACAGCATTTGCGGGGTAAAAAATTTAATGATTTCTCTGACGTAGAGGCGGAGTTGAACAACTTTTTCGAGGCACAGCCATCAGAGTTCTGAGCAAAAGGCATCCAAACTTTGCCGGATCGTTGGCAAGAAGTCTTAGATACTAATGGTAATTACATCATTGACTAAACTTTTTTTATTGTAATAATAATAAAAAAGTAAAAATTTAAACCAAGTGTCTCATTACTTTTGTGCCAACCCGATATATTTATGTATGTGGAGCAAATCCACACTAGATTTATTTGTCAAATTACCTTTACTTGTAGTTTATAAGTTTACCATCACCAGATTATTAATGTCCACACTGCTTGGGGCTCAGGCCTTCCCTATGGATGGAATCGAATAGGGAGATTGAGCGATGAACCCCCCTGGCCTGGCTGGCTCAGTACGGATTAGTGGGTACGACAGCAGATTCGGCCAGGACCAACGGCTTAACGTGTCTTTCGAAGCAAGGGGGAGTTCGAGATAATAAATATTTGGTCTCCCATACTATGACCGGCTATTGCGAAAGTTCCATGTATCGTAGACCGATCGAGCTCCTCGAGTTTATATGCTTATATTGGTATAAATTTGGATATTTTCATTATTATTCCAGAATATCGGCAGGCCTATTGTGGATATTTATATTAATTATTTATACTTGGAAGGTACTTTTACCACTTTGTGAAGACAAAAGAGAGTCTAATAAGCAAGTACTATTAACTATTACTCAGATGATGTTATTGGGTCTCTCGCTTCATAATATTTATGTTCAGTCAAATAGATTTGATGATGGTAGACCAGTGTCACAAATATATCAAGGGTTGGCTTGGACTATTGCTGGTGAGTATAAGTTGTAGAATAGTTTTTTTTTTTAATTATTATTATGCGGAGAAGTTGTTTAATCTTAAATTTTCGAAATATAAATCCATTTTCATAGTTAAATTGAGCTATAAGTATTCAGAAGCTATTCGGAATTAAAATTGTCTCATGTGTAGCACGGTAAAGTAATGTTAGGTACCTAATGAAATTTTATGTAAAAAATATTGAATTGAGGAAAATTGATAATTTCAAAATGTTATATTTGTAGAATACGATTTAAATAGTTATAAGATAATTTAAAAACAAAAGCTATGTAGTGCAAAACGCTTCAGGATAATATGAAACTGGAACAGAGTGAAATTATTTTATTTCATATGTTTTTGTCTGTTTCAGTGACGTGTTTTTTTATACCACTCGTATTTACAAAAAGACTGATTTGTCGACTTGTGGCGATTTATACGTCAATTCTGAATTTTTACCTGTTGTTATCTGTCTCACATGAAGGTTTATTTATAGTAACACTGATTACCAATATAACTTGTTGGTTATTTATAGAGTTCAGGCTCTTGCCCTTTGATGGTGTTGGTGTAAGTATGAAAAGTTATTATTTCGTTTCAGAAACACTTCTATACACATCAAAATGCACCTATATGTCCAAACAAAATATCTATGAAATATTAGAAAACTAAAACAATCACTAACTTTTTAGATACATAAAGCGTTCAACTAATTTATTTCCTAAAGTTAACAATACATTTATTTTTGTAGATACTGGAATATAGATTTGAGGTACTTGAAGAGACTTCTAAAGATTTTATTAACTTTGAAAGAGGCATAAGTAGACAAGATTTTAGAAGAGCTTTCTTTTTTGTATCCTTTTCAATAAATAAATAATGTTCACATGTATATTCTGCTAAAATAATATCATATGATTATCGATTAATGTTTGTATTTTATGGTAATCAATATAACCATATAAAGAAAAAATGAATAAAACAAATTGAAAAACAATGATTATCCATAATTCATATAACCAGACTACATATATTGTTCTAGCATTTTTCGGTACAGGAAATATCGCATCATTGAATTCCTTTGAAGTGAGATGGGTGACATGTTTTATAACGTCTTTTAGACCATTTATCATTACTACTTTGATATTATTGAAGACTTTATCACCGTTCCTAATGGTAGCGTGTACTTTTCGAGCTGTTCAACATTTGACAAAGGTTTGTTTTCTAGAAGACTTAGTAGTGAGGCTGTAGATATGCCCACCTAGGTACTATGATCTGTGTAATTACCGCAACGTTACCGTAACCGAAGTAGTGTAGTATACACTAGAAACATTACTTAGACCTATAGTGTCGAGGTCCAGCTGGCTTGTCTGCAAACTTTCCAGCGGGCAAGTTTGTCTAGTGAATCCCCATACTATACCATAGTTATAATATGTCAAATTTTCGAAATTTATTTTTCGACATTTTCAAGTTTTACTGTTAATGCATTAAGAATTAAAATCAAGTTGATTGAAAAAAATAAATGAAATTTGTATTACTAGACGTATTTCAGTAAAAAAATTATATGTAAAAACTGTTTTATTTTCAGGCACCAAAAGGATACTTACACATTATAGTGTTAATTTATTCCAACATCATGGGCATTCAATTACTGTATAATGTGAAAAACTATGGAAGTTGGTTGGATATTGGTACATCTATATCACAATTTGTTATTGTGCAAGTGATAACATTGTTTATTGTTCTAATTAATCAGATCGCTAGAATTTTAACAGACTTCAGTATTATTTTGTTTATTCGCAGATTATTAGGCAAACGAATAAAGAAATATGATTAAAAACCACGCCATTTTTTAATAAAAAAAGTGTCCTTTTCTTTAAATAGGTATCTACTTAGAATTGCTTATAGTTTTAGAAACAAATTGAGATCGTTCAGTATCTGCGTAAGATACAGTATATATAAATACTTTTAATTAATTACAAGGAAGATTACATAAAATTAAACATTATTTTTATTATTACTTTTATTGAAGGAAATATTACAATACAATTTCTGCATATAGAAAACTTTCGAGTTAAACTAATTTGTATTAATTAATAGCCTAAATACCAGACCAGAAAAATGCTTGAAGATTTTTTATATCGTATAAACTTTATATGTTCTGTTTTAATAGGCTGGGGAAAAGCATTTTATATGATGTTTACAAACATTTTTAATAAAGTTTATTTATAATTAACTAGTGTATGAACGTACCCTTTTGTTCTATAATTTTTGCCATCTTGTAGGTAGGTAGATGGTTCCATTGCTATAGAAATTTTGGGGCTTCTGATCAAAATTCCCGACAAGTGGCTTCGGCAGTCCACGCTTGATGTTAACCTGACACTGCTTAAAGAATTCTGAATAGACCGAAACAGGTGGAAATCTGAGGTGCAAGGTCAAGACTATACGGCGGATGCATTAAAACCCCCCAGAAAATTATGTATAAGCTCTAGCAATATCATGAGGAAAAACCACACACCCATTGATTAATTCTGGCTGCTTTCTCCCAGCTTCTTGCTTTAATCTCATCAGTAGTTCAGAATCGATGGTCCTGCCTGGTGGTAACAGCTCCTTATGAATAATGCCCTTCCGATTTAACCATACACACAGCATTACCTTGTTGCAAGTTAACCGAGACTCCGCCACAGTCTGAAGCTTGACCGACCTTTGACCATGATCTTTTTCGCACGTTCTTGTCGTACGTGATCCACTTTTCATCACCAGTTTATAAGCTTTTTCAAAAATGGTTCGGTTTCATTACGCCGTAATATTCTTTATTACGGCGTGAGTGAGACAAATGAGTACACGGCTCATTAGGTTTCTTTCAGTGCGCTGGTGAGCTACCCAAATATCCAACATTTTTTTGTGTACCCAGCTTTTTCAAATACGCCAAAACTGTTTTGTGGTCAATACTTACTCAGTCCTTCAGCTACGTCGTAACTACTGATATGCCGATCTTGCTACAATTTTTCAATTTACACGTAACAGGGCTCGGAGCGACGACGTGCATCTTTGACATCAAAATTTTCGAACTGAAAACGGTTCAATAAAATTCGTGCTACTCTCGTGCTAGTCCATAAATGTCACAATTTTCTTCGCATCTTGCATTGCATTTTTACCTTTTTATAATAAAATTTTAAAATGTATCGAATTTCATTCACATATTTTGACAGTAAAACAAACTAATGAAATCTACACATTTTCCTAATTTAAAGTCTTCTTTAAAGAAGAAAGATAACTAAATCTTCCTTCTTTAAATTTGAAATATATATGATCCCGAAACCAGCCAGATACAAATGGTATAGCCAGAAAGATTTTAAAACAAGTTTATGCATACTATATGCGTAAGGACTTTTCCCCAACCTATTAATAAATTCTTTTTATCTGAAACAATTGCATATCTCATTAGGTATTAGTTATTTCAGATAAAAAGAAGGCCTATTAGTTTTATAAGCATGCGTGTTCCTCTGGCGTGCGCATTTACATCCCAGCAAGTATGAGTATCACTGCACGCGTGCGTAGCTTGATAAAATCTGGGAAACGATCGAGACTTGCTCTCTCGACTCGCCGTGTTTAAATTGAAAGTGCATCGGTGTTAAAATTTAGACAGTTAATAAATGGGTTATGTCCTATCCGTAAAGCAACATGAGGTGCTAACGTAGTAAGTGTCCGTCAAGTCTATTGTTTGTCAAGATAAAACCAAGAATAAATATTTATGGCTAAAAGTCAAATATGTAACGCATGTTAGTATTTTTCGACCAGGCGTTAAGAAAGTTTCGTCTGTCGTTCGCACCATATATTTATGATTTGGACCTATAAAAAAGATGCGTGCGTTAACAGGATATTCTATTCCATTTAAATTATACTTGAAACTGTTTATTTTAATCTTAAAAAACCATAAAACGAATATTTCGGAAAAATAATACGTTTTCTTGCCTTAAAATTAAATCAAAATTTAAACTTTTATACTCGCCAAAACGTTGTCCGTCATATTTATGACGTCATTGTGATATGTAAACAAACGGATGCATAAAGTACAAGATTAAAAGATGTCGATAAAACAAGAACAATGGCATGTAATGATAGATTACGAATTAAAAAGATAAAAATAAGCTAAGAATAGTGCCATCTAGGAACTTGAAAGATAATAGGTATATATACTTATATCACACAATGGCGGGACGTGTTTCAAGTCACGTGACATACTGACGGAATATCTCGAAGTTAAATTTTAACACAACCGTGCAATTTTGGTACTCAAAATCAGAATCTCTGTTGCTGACGTACATCTTGTACATTTAAGTTTTTGTGCAATTACGCGATTTATTTTTCACTATCGAAACTACCCTAACGGGTCCTTCAAGTAAATTCATCTTTATTTCTAAACCTTAGTTTGTATCGTGATTTCATTTTAACAATAGCAAGTGAGCAAAAATAGTTTTTTTGATAACGTTATTTTCAGAGACTAATTCAAGAAAAGACTATAATGAAAAAATAACATCTCTTTTTGTAGTCGCTACTTCCATAATATCGCACCGCCAAAGTTATTTTAAACACCACATTTGCGAAACAACCTATGGCTTGGAAATAAAAATGAATCGTCTAGAAGAGCCCATAAATTTAAAAAATAATGCATGCACCTGCTTTTATAGGTGCAAAGGACAGACGAAACTTTTGTAACGTCTGGATGAAAAATCATATCAAAAATATAGATAGAATTTGACAGGCGTTAAAAATTTGCCTTTGAGCCATAATTATTCAGATTCTAAGATTATCTCGTTATAAAAGTATTTTAAATCTAGAATGGTGGTAAAATACATTGTTGGTTTTTTGTTTCATTGGTAAGGATTACAAATAACTAGTCTAGCCAATAACTCTGTTACTATTTACATACATAAAAAAAAAAATTAATTTGAATTTCGAACATTAGTTTCTACTATAAAAAAATAGACTTCCCGCCATTATTGTGTTTTTTGTTTAGAAATTATTTGTTTTGAAAATAGAGTGGGTCCCTAAAGAGAATAGGATTGCAATAATTGCACTATACAAAGTAGGTAAGGAGCCAGCCGAAAATTTTTGATACATTGAAAAAGCTAGGGATTAGCCGAATGTTTGTGTATCGTACCATTCAAAGGTACACGAAACCATGTCTGTTGCGAGATCGGGCCAACCGCGGTCTATTCGAACAAACCAGGTCGTTAATGCAGTCAAAGCCAGAGTTTGTCGAAAGCCCATAAGGAAGCGGAAAATCCTTTCCATAGAAATGAGAATCCCACCGAGGACACTTTCTCGGATTATTAAACAAGACTAAGGTTTAGGAGCTTACCGGAGATACACAGGATATACCTTAAATTAGGCTTTAAAACAAAAGAGTCGAAAGATCAAAACAGCCGTTACTTCGATACGCGGACGAAAAACAGAAAAACTATCTTAACCGATAAAAACATTTTTACAATCGAGGAGCACTCCAACAAAATGATCGAGTGTATGCACACAGCTCTAAAGAAGCTTCCGAAGTAGAGGCCAAAGTTTAGCGAGGTCATCATCCGACATATGTTATGATTGGTGGAGTGTCTCCTACTAAGGGGTTACAAAACTCCATTTTAGCGAAAAAGGAGTGAAAACTTCAACTAAAGTATCAAGATACCGTGATTAGCGGTAACTTGCGCGCTTCTAGCGGTAGTTAAATCTCTTAACACCTAATTCAAAAACAGTGTGGATATTCCAACAGGATTCAGCCCCGGGTCATAAGGCACTACCCTAATTTTGCTTGAGCAAAATGTTCGACTTCATAAAGACTGATGATTGGCCTTCGGCTAGTCTGGACTTAAACCCTTTGGGCTATAAATTGTGGTCTGTGCTAGAGGACATGGCCTGCTCTAAGCGTCACCCAAATATTGAGTCGCTCAAGAATCTTTGCAGTGACCATGTTTTCAATGGAAACCGTTCGCAAATCCATTGATGAATGGCCCGACCGTTTAAAAGCGTGCGTTAAAGCTGAAGGTGGACACTATGAATAACTAGTTTAAATAGAACTAGTTTAATTTAGAACACTAACATATATTTTACACTCTACATAATCACTTATACAACTTTAAAATTAAATTATTTTTTTAGAAATAATCAGATATTTTCTTTGTAACAGAACTTTTGGCTAGACTAGGTACAAATACAATACAAATAACATTTAAATATCATTAATAATAAATTGTTGCTGAAATCAATTGTTTTTATTGAAATCAATTTCTTTTCCAGATCAAAATCTTATTATTAGAAGGCATTTCTATGGTATCCATTAGTGTGAGATTATTTACTTCTGCTAATTTAATGAGGTCATCAATATCACGAATACCCCAAGATGGATCACTAGCTCTAAGCGATGCATCAAAATCAATATTGCTTTGTGGTGTAATAATCCCTCCTCTACTGAATGGTCCATAGGTAATTAAAAGTGCATCATTTTTTAAATACATGTTTGCATTTTCAAATAAACCAATAGTGCATTGAAAAGGACTAATATGCATCATATTTGCATTAAACATGTAATCAATACTATTTTCAGTAAAACCATAATGTGAAAGTTTGTTACAAATATTAACTAACATAGGTTGAAGTATGTTCTTAGTTGAGCAATTATTAGCATAATAAGTTATGCTACCTAATAAATTTTCATCTACTTCAGTAGGTTGAAATTTAATGCCTAGAAAATGTGGTGCAAAGTGTGCAAGATGTTGCCCTGAGCCTGATGCTATTTCTAAAAATAAAGGACACCCATCATCACCATTGTCAGTGTTTGAT